CTCCATGTCTGAAGCAGCTCCAATAACTTGAGAGTTCAAACAGAATGCTTGCCAGGTGATTCCCAATTCTGCATATTGAGGAAGACTGGGAAAGAAAATTTAATTTGCTTATAGAGTATTGAAGACTCCTTATACTGCAGTTTGTGATCTTTTTTAATGGGTACATCTTTCTGTCTCTCCTCCTTAGACAAATAGAGTCACCTAGTCATCTAGGAGAGTCCAGCCCACTCCATCTCTGTTCCTCCCTTGGAAAGCCCTCTTCTCTACCTGTCTTTCATTACAAAGTCCTAAACGTAATGTCAATTCTTACACATGTATGTTTTCCACAGTGGGCTACTTTTATAGGTATCTCTTTTCTCGTATGTGTGGCATTCAGGGCATCACTTTCTTACTTGTGATTCATATATGATTCTTCTCTATGTCCCTCACATTGTCTTATACAAGCAACACTCCACAAACATGGTTGAATGAGAAAAGGAATGATGAAATCAACAGCAAGCCAAAGCCTCCACATTAACTTCACATCAGAGAGACTATGCTGCTCTAGGTTCTAATTGCATGTTCCTTCTTTTGGGGAATACAACAAAAGCTAATGCTTTGCATCGAGTGTATTAACTGCATATTTACACCACGGATGTACAGTGCTTGAGAAAGCCAATTGACACCAAAGATAGAGTTTTTAGATATTATTTGAAGTTTATGTTATAAAAAAGTATTGGCACCCACTTGTCATTCTATCTTGTTAAAGACTTAGTTTGCCTAACTTTTAAAAAGTACTTCAGTTTTCTTCACAGAAAATTATTTTAATGTTCAGAATAATTAATCAGTAGTTATAAGCTAACACCTTACTAAGCTCATTAGAATAAACCACACAGGCACAGACTCTTTTAAACATTTTTAATTCTTGTGATGTGTTCTTAGAACATAGAGCTAAGATATAAGATTTGTGTTGACATAAGAACTTGGCAATGTATTTATAAAACACTTGAGGTCTTATTCATGTGACTAAAAATAATACTTTTTGAGTATAAAAAATAAAAAACTATTGACCCATGTTTGTAAGATTGTCTTTAAAAAAAAAAAAAAGCACTGTTTTTTCATTTGAGGAGAATGAAGTTCATGAGTCAGCCATTTTCCAATAAGATTCCAAAGCACATTTCATCATCTGTTTCCTCTCTTATTTTGAAGGTCGGGTGCTGGATAAGTCACCTTGGAGAAATGGAAGCAATTTATTAATTTGTCATTTGCAGGGAATGAAATTGTGTGGAAGAATAGAGCAAAGTACTAGACACATTTTCTATTCTTTAAAGCTAGTGATATCTTTGGCCACATTAGTGTCCTGTAGGTCGGTGGGGAGGAGCAGGTGTGAGCTTCCAAAGTGTCTTTACAAGGGTCTCAGTGGGGCTTCCCTCCCTCGCCTCTGCAGGAGACAGCTCATCGGTTTAATCCTTATGTTTTAGTCAACCTTTCTTATTATGCAGACAGGGCTCTGAGGCTCAGCTGGATTTTGACTCTGGGAATGAATTGATGGGGCTCTTTGATCTTAGCTGTGTATCGCATCTGTTTTATCTTTCTTCTTAATGCAGTCTTCCAAACTCTAATTCTAGCTGGTATTCCTTGAATAAATCCATAATTATGCAAACAAACAAAGAAACAAACAAATACTGCCATTTAAAACTCAGATTAAAACCTTATTTCCCTCCATTGTGGCATGGTGAGCATTCTTGTAAAAAAAAAAGAGAGAGAGAGAGAGAAAAAGAGAGAGAGAGAGAAAGAAAGAAAGAGAAAAGAGAGAGAGAAAGGAAGAAAGAAAAAAGAAAGAAAGAAAGAAAGAAAGGAAAGAAAGAAAGAAAGAAAAGAAAAAAGAAAGAAAGAAAGAAAAAAGAAAAGTTTAATAGTCTGGACAAGACTACTAGATTTGTGAATATTTCGGTACCAACTGATATGAATGTATCCAGTGGAGTAGGATCCCATGGAAAAAAAATGACAATCATCAGTCTTGGCAATTTTGTAAGTCGGTATAAGAGCATTAAATCTTATTAATAAACCACACTGTAGGAAAAAACAGAACCACAGAACCTACTTAGAAATTCTAACCAAAAAATATGAAGATCAAAAGATACTTTTCCTTTTTATGAGAATAAGAAAATCTGGCTTGCAGAGAAGATTAACTGAATCAAAATAAATGATACAAAGAGTCAGTTTCAGGATTTCTGAAATATTATTTTTCAAAATAAGATCTTTAAAATGAAATAGGTATGTTCTGGAATGAAGTTGGAGTAGAAACAGATAGAGAAATGTTGAGAAAATAATATAGGTTTTATTTATTTATGGTGTGGTTTGGTTTTTGTGTTTGTTTGTTTGTTGCCATACCCCTGAAAGCACACAGAGTGTGCTTAACTAGCTTAACTAGCTAGCTTAACTAGCTAGTTAAACTCTAAGTTGTCAAGTTTTGATGTGACTTTGATATTAATCTAGGCTTTTAGAGACTTGTATTATTTTTACTTTTGATTCTCATGGATCTTTATTTTTCTTTAAGTATACTGTGATCTTGTGATGATAATGTAATGTCAAACCTGTCAGAATAATTCCAGCCTAGCAAGGAATTGATGTCTCCTAAAAGCCAGAGGCTTTTGAGAGTTATGCAAATGTCTCTCAGAGAGGAAGATGGTGATATGGCCGCCGCTCTGTCTGCTCTGTTTAATGCAGACTTTATCCCAACATATGTGGACTAATCTTACTAATAACTCTTAGTGGATTGTCAGAATGTACATTATTCTTAGGTACACTAAAAGATAAAACAAAACTTACCAAGAATTCGGTTCATCGTCATGATTGCATATTGCTTCTATAGCACTCTCAACTGTGGTCCACACTCAAGGTCCTGTGAAATCTCCAACTCAGAACTCAGATTTTGAAGGCTAAATTTAGTTCTTTGAGGGAATCTTAGAATAACTCTGCAGGAAGGAGGTGTGGAAGGTCTTTCTGTAGGCAGAACTACTCAGAGACACATAGAAGATAGCTTCACTCTTATTATCTACTAGGTCTGGCTTGCTACCAACTGGAATACAGTTTTAGTTATTTAGCCAATTAAATGTTTCCACTGGAGAGAATAGACATAGCACCCAGTCAAGTATAGCTCTGTGGTTTCAGTGTTTCAATCAGTTTCCTTCACCTTTGCTTGCTTGGTTTCATAACCCACACACTTGATTTCTGTGCTTTTCTAATGGTGAAACAAAATGCCCATACTGGAGTCTATATCGAGTCTAGAAAGAATCTCAGCTGTTCAAACTTCTTAAAGGCTTTTTTTTGGCCTTTCCCATCAAGACAGATGAAAATCCCTGGTTTTTGTGTCATGCTTCCTTGTGATACATACATGGAAGTATGTTGGAATGATGGCCATTTGGACTATTGATGTAGTACTAAGGGGAATGTAGCTTTCTACCATAGAATATGTATCAAAAATGATACTAGACCCATGTGCTTATCAATTTGACCTATTTAATTTTCTTACCTGCTTTACTATTAGTTTCTAGTAGTAACTGAGCAGTGAAATTGACCTCTGTCACTCTAAGTCTCCAGATTTCAGCATATAGCTCCAGAAAAGGTGCTAGAGAAAACATTTGTATTGAATTTATTGATGGGAAATGGTTTCTCTGAAGGACTCACACTAGGATGCCCTTGCATCGATTTTCCCTGGTTGTTCCTTTTGGTCTGTGGCTATCACACTGTAGCATCACTCCCTCCTTGAAACCCTTTTGTACTCATGAATTTTCAGAGGACCAGGTTCAGGTGCCAGAGTTAGCCAAGTGATTGTCATTTTCAAGACCCAAAAGCATGGATCGCCAGTTAAAACATCTTGGTGAGTCTTGGAAGATGACTCAGTTTGTAAACTCACTCTCAACACAGCCATGAGGGCTGGAATTCAGATCCCAGCACCCACACACATGTCCGCTGGGTGTGAAGGCCTACCCATATTCCTGTATACATAGAGTTCATATCCCAGCACTCACTCTGATGGTGCCAGTGTTCCCAGTGCACAGAAGGCAGAGACAGGGGAATGCCCAAAGCAGACTCGCTGAATAAGCCAGCTGACATGTTGAGCTCTAGATTCAAAAAATCGATCCTCCCTCAATATATGAGGTAGAGAAAACAAGCAAGGGCCCTGACCTCAATCTGTCCTCTATACACATGCAACACCTGCCCCCACACACGTGAACATCACACACACACACACACACACACACACACACACACAAATAGAAGCGCTGAAATCCACTAAACAATTTAAACTAAGACAAAGATTATAAATAATAACATGCACTGAAGCTAAGTATTGCTTCATGGATATAATTTTCTACAAATATATTTTGAGTCTGTGATATTCTTTGCTATGTTATAAATATTTTCCTATGGATTTCAATGGAAGAAATCCTGGAAAGGGAAACAAAATCAAAACGTGGAGCCACACTGTATATCCTCTTGTAAGATTTTTCCTGAATGGCAGACAAGATCTACTACCACACAGACACCAACCCCAGCACCACCAGAGACCCCCCACTCCTACATCTACCACCATTCTCCTTTTAAAACAATTCTCCTCCCTCAAACCAAGGGAATTAGCTCTTGGCAAAAATAAATAATCATGGAAACTTAGCAAGTGCTTCCAAAATTATTGCAAGTTATATCTGTTTACAGTGGTCTTACTGTAAACCATTTAGTTTTAGGTAGCTATAAAAGGAAAAGACATGAATATTTAGTTGCACAAGAGAAACATAATGATCACAGTGAAAGAATTGTGTTAATACATTATTTTGCTATTGGGCCAAATATGATGACTATAAACTCTTACTCCATACCAGAGTTTACAAGAAAGAAAATAGATCTAGGTAGGTTAAAAGAAAATGTGTCTTTACTGGTAAAAATGCTTTGCAGATATGACCCTTCTTTTCATTGGGAATTATATAACCATTTATTTTTCTTTTCTTTGCATCTGCCAGGAGTTAACGAACAAGGAGTAAACTCAAAATTGTGCTTTTATTGCACATTTGCATTGAATCTTAGGACAGAAAATGGCTTACATTCTGCTCAGCAAGGTAAGTGAGAATGGAGAGAAAGAATATTCTTTGGTCCTGCATGATATTCATGTTTGTTACCAGGCATGACATTCTTACTCTACTGTCCATGATCAATTATAGCTGTGATATCCATGGCGACCAGCAAGAATATCTGTTGTCATCCAAGAGCTTGGTAGAAATATTGAATGTCAAACTCCATCCATAACTACTGAATTAAGATTCACATTTACCAATAGTCACCGTATTTTCCATTATCATTTAAATTTGAGAAGAACAGGTAAATGGTATATGTACTGCCAGTGGACATATGGAACTGTGTCCATTTCTTGGATGAAGTTTTCTCCTGCATGAAAAACGGAAAGCAATAGTAGTTTTTATGCCCTATAACTGGTACTAATTACCCAGTGCTGCTGAGAATGAACTGGGAGGATTTTGATTATGACACTGTCGCTGATGAGACTACCCATTAGTTGTCAAATACCTTCAGGTATTGACCTAAAGTTAATTTAGCCTATAAGCAATAGAGCAGTCGCCTTTCTCATTTAAGTTCCGTAGACGTTTTCACAGTGAGACAGTTGAAGCAGTTGCCTACCCAAGGCCATAGATCCTTACCAGTGCAGGCGTTCCTGTGCCTAGCACCAGCTATGCCCAAGACAGTTTATTGATAGTTGCATTTTTAAAATTTAAGAAACTTTTTTTATTTGAATGGGGAAAATGTGACCCTTGATATATTCTTAGGTGAGTACTAGGAAACCTTAAGATATTTGCAGTAAGCATTACATTGTCAGATTTTCATATGTGAGAAGCCAAGGGATGCCTTGGGTTTTAAGCACATGTCAACCTTTGACGTATCAGTTCACACTTTATTGCATACCAAGAACATGTGATATGTGGCTTCATTTGCCCCACCAGAAGCCCTCAACTCTGTATTCTTCTGGCATCTAGACATCTTGATGTCTATCCCTGACAACATGAGAAGGCAGCTCCTTACTTGATTTGACTCTACAGCTGGAGAGAATTTAGGACTATAATTTGAATCTCTCACTCTGAATTAAATCGTGTCTAAGGAAGGCATTCTTGGAGAGAGGAGATGATGCGGACATGTAAATATTTTGACATTTAATAGATGAATAAAACCAACTCACAGAAAAAATGGTATAGAAAGTAGCATAGAAATGGGGTTTGGAAGCAAAAAGCAGTGAAGGTTAGTTATGGCACAAGTGGACATAAAGGGCTCTATGCCCTGCTCTTCATCCAGACACACAAAAACTGTCACTACCATTCAAAGCTATGAAAAAATGAAAATATCCAGAACTATTTATACAAAAATTAAAATTAATTACCCATTCAAGCAAGAACAATGGCCTTTCTTTACAATTATTATATATGTTAGTATTTTAAAGCTACACGTATATGTGTATGTGACTATATCACAAAGTGTGTACATGTATATATCTATATATATATGTATATGTTTATATCTGTATCTATACCTCTGTCTATGTCTGTATCTGTATCTATATTTATCTATCTATCTCTGTACAAAATAAATTTGTACAGCCGCAAAGTAATATACTATGAAAAATAATTCTTTCTATTCCAAGACCTTTCTCTACTCTGGCATCCATCATGAGCAATTCCTAGCATAATTTTCATAGATAGTCTCTCAATATATAAATTAGACACAATACTCTTATCATACAATAGGATGATATACAACACACATGATTCTATGCTTTTCCTTGCTTTAAAATGCATCATAGAAACATTTTCATCTCAGAATTTCTTCATTTAATTTAGTAACCTTATGACATCCTTAGAGTACACTTCTTCCTCTTGCAAATACAGCTACACCTAGGTTCTTTCCATGTGTATTCAATCATATGTAGAAACGTCTCATGTATTATATATACATATGCCATACATACATACATACATACACAGGCTGTGTCTCTACGTGTGTGTGCTCCCAGATTTTCACTGTAAAAGTCTTCATTTGTTCTGACCGAAATGAGTTAAACAACAGCAAATTACTAACCAATTAGCCCAGAAGGCAGAGCAATAATAATTGGCAACATCATTTACTATGTGTTACCTTGTAATTACACCTTTAATTCTTATTCGTCGTTGAGGAAGATATTACCACTTGTATCAATGTTGTTATTAATCAATGGAGAAAGGCTGGCTTTGAGTCCACTCATGAAGCTTAACCCTGGACCCTTTGCTGATCTTCAAAAGCTGTGCTGATTCCTGGTGACTCTGTTGTTGCCGTGTTAATGACGGGATGGGTACTGCACATCCATTGTGTGCTAAGCAACTGGCACGCACTGTGCAGCCTTTGTCAATGTGCTACACTATGTTATTGTCACCTGACGGTCCTAATGAGGTTTAGTAACCTTCCCAACCTCTCAGAGGTAAGAAGTTAAGACCTAAGAATGGAAAGGAGATAGACCTCAGACCTCCGAGACTAAGACAAGCAGACGAGAAAGTTCCAGGCATTCACTTATATACTTGATGTTCTGGAAGACAGAAATACACACACACACACACACACACACACACACACACACACAATAGAAATATGATTTATGTGTGTGTGATATAATTAAACATATTCAAGCCATCAGGGAGCTAAGTAGAAATAGCTGTCCCAAGAGCCAATGGGAGAAGGTGCAGGGCATACCAGAAAGAACATGCACAGTAGAGTCAGGCTTAGTGACCTGCATAGACCCCCAGGGGATCTGATCCCAAGAGAGTATTTTCAAATGGAGAGTGACTCATTGACACTCATTCTGACTGCTTCAACCTCTCAAAAAATTCCCACGCACATGTGTCATGTTTATATAACAACAGCCGCCTATTGTCATGAGAGGTCCTGGATGGCTCTGCTCTGAGTTGGACTCTGTGGCCATGGAGAGCAGAAATCAGCAAGGGTCAAACTAGGTGATGTGAATGCCAACCCAAGCAGGAGCATGTGGCTTCTCTGGGCCATTCTCTCCGTCATGTCCATGGTCTAAATGTCAGGTATCAGGAAATGCTCTACATGGATAAAGACAGCCATGGTGAATTCACCTTTACAGCCCTTTTAATGGGACCTGTGTATTTGACAACATGTTGTCTAGGTCAAGTCCTAATTTGTGACTGAAATTTTGTGTATTTTGGAGCTATTATTAGTATTTTTACTGTAGATTTTGTTGTTGTTGTTGTTCTGCAAGTCTTGCAATCTTGGTCATAGCTACACATGGTGTTTTGAGTTGAAAGTACCACATTTTTGTTGTTCCAAAACACCTCATTGAACTTCATAGAGATTGGGTAATGATTGTTAGAAAGCCATAAAATTCATAAGAATTATTTATATGATAATTATAGTAAGAGTAATAATGAAGCTATAAAATGAAGTTTAGGACATGTGCAACAGATTTTACATGTGTTATGTATGCTAACACCAAAGTCCTACCATATAGTCCACCTGATTACCGTCTTTTATTCTGCCGTTGAAGATGAGAAGTTACCATGGTGAAAGGGGCAGTCCTTTCTCATATTCCGTAACAAGCTTGGTGCTCCACAACTACCAGTTTTGTGCTTGTGAATTCAATCGCCCACAGGTTGAAAGATTCAGGAAAATAAAAACAGTGATATCAGAATTAGAAACACACAGATATTTTGTGTTACATCTACAGTGCATTAATTAGTATAATTAAGTATAATTCAGAGAATAGGGAAGAGAGTTGCATGGGGTATTTGTAAACATGGACTTGACCAATGTGACTCTCTGGGTCTCCCTCCCCTACACCGTGAATGATGAGGAATGGCTGAGGAAGGCTGTAACTCCCATTAGGCATTGCTCCTTCTAGACTATTCAGTAAGCATTATCATAAGAACTTGGTTTTCATCCTAAAAAGTCAGTTTTCTCAGTCTTCCTTATAATCACATCATGAGTACCTATGAGCAAATGCCAAAATTTATTTATTAATTTATTTCTTTGGAGACATAAAATTCATTCAATTTCATATAGGTTCTACAGAGATGAAAATTTTTATGTATAGCATATTTTATTCTCTTTGAATTTTCTAAGAGAAAAATTGCATTCTCAGGCTGAGTCAAGATCTTTTAGAGAAATTGTAACTTCCTGAGATGAAATCATTTCATGGGAGAATTGTTGAAACACTTGGCTTTTCTTTTGAAAATGCCTATTTTAACTCCCCCTTTTTTGGAATTGTCTTTTCATCATTTAAAAAATATATCTTTAAAACATCTTTAAATAAATATAAATTAAAAAAATAAATCAATGCATGTTCATCAATACTGGGCCTCAGGAGTGAGTTCCTGCATGATTCAGATGATGTGTGTAGGCTAAGTAGCCACTCTTCATCAGCATATGTGACTCGATTGACTACTACGGGGTAGACCTGGAGCAGCTGCCAGAGCTGTCATAGTGAACACCGTAAGAAGGGCCACTTGGAAACAAAGCATATGGAAAATGACTATCAAAGCTTCTTGCCTTGAAACTGAGCTATGGCAGACAAACTTCCATCCTCTGACTTTTCCTGCATCTTTGTTCTTTCTCTTTTTATGATTCATTTTTTTAAATGCCACCCTCAAGTGATCAAGGCTAAAGATTATATTACTCTCAAGAAGAAACCTAGATCAACATAGACATGAATATATAAATAAATTCCAAACATTTCCTATGTAATTCTGATGGGATTTTAGCATCCCCCAACAAACACCACCCCATATGATATATCCTCCTATTTCCATTGGATAGCTTTAAGTTATATTAAAATAGACGTGCTTATTTTCTTAGGTTTTTAGTCTAATAAACCAAATGTGGAGGCTTTGAACCCTGTTGTGGTGACGTCCTCACATGCAAAAAGAATGAGCGGAGATAATTTCCTGTGAGAGCGCAGCTTACACAGGCTGATCTGAGGCTACCCTGATATGAAGCCAGATTCCCCAGGTGACGCTGCTCCTAGACACAATGCTGCTAAGGCAGAATGGGATGGAAAAGGAGACCAGAAGGGCATCTGAAAAAGGAAACTGATGGGTGCTTTTTAATCTATCTAAATGTGGATCATCCTGTAGCTTTAGCATTGGAGCTGAGGTTCTTCCTCTCTTGTAACTTTGCACTCAGCCTGTTGTCTGAACTCGAAACCCTCAGAACTGCGTGTCTGAGATCTGAATGTGTTCTTGGTCTCAAATCAATCTTGTCAGTCCTCGGAAAGCAATGCAAGATAATAAGTCGTATTCACCTGATTGCTTTCCTGCGCAGAGACAGCTAGTGACGCGTGTCTCCCTGATAACCAGGAGTTTCAGATCTGAGGCAGGGATAAAGGGAAGCTCGGGAGCTGGCTGAATCTAAATTTGACAGTCGACGGCCAAGGGAAGGGTCAGCAGGGATAGAATCTGTGAGAAGGGAACAAAATTTATCTGCCCTGCTTGCAATGATTAGATGTCTCTTTGTCTGGCTTCCTTACAGCGGGTGACTGATTGTCCCTGCCAGCTGGCTAATATCATAATTAACAAAGTTGCTCCCACATCTGCAAAGTTTAATCGAAAAATTTACCAGTGGTATGATGGCATTGTCACCAAGATCACAAGGGACTCGGAGTCAGCTTCTGCTCCAGGTGGAACGGCAGGGCTGTGTGGCCGAGAGGAGAAAGTGGGGTACTTGTTCAGCCAAAGGTATGTTTCCTTTCTACTTCTGCCTCCAGGGTGGTCTGGTTAAGATTTTTGTGTGGTAGTTCATTGGGTTCCTTCTTGTTTCATGACTGAAATGCTTTATCAAAAAATACATATGGGTTTTTCTTTTGGTCATTGATGTGACATTCTCTGAAAACTTTAAGATTTTATTTTTCAGAAATCTGAAAATTCAAAAATATCATTAAATAGCTTTTGATACCAAGGATGGATTGTAGAACAATATTTTGCCTTTCCTATCTAGCTATTTTTTTTAAAATCATTTTCAGAGTAACTACTTGGTAACAAATATCAATTGAATATTTGTATTGTGGAACGTTGTAGGTTTTTGCTTAACCATATAAGCAAAAAGCCGTTGTTTTACCTTCTTTTATGTGTCAGCCCAGTCAGAAGAGGGATGAAAGGGCACGCGCCGCGACAGCGTGTGTAGAGCCTTAGTTTGAAGAAGGGTTCCAGTTGGAGAGGGTGGGCTTTGCGCGTCACTCAGCACACAGAGTGAGTACCCTCTTCTGCTCTCAGAATGTCCCCTGACACATTGTGCCGCTCTCCCTCGTCAGTCTGGTCTGTGATTGTCCTACCTGTATTTTTTTTTTTTCTTCACTGTGATTTGCTTGGCTTGATTGAATATTCAAGCTCTGGGGTGTTTCTCGAATTATAGCCTTCACATATTGTTAATTAATGAGTGTGAATATTGATGAGGAGAGCCCTGTGTGCCTTTGTGAATATGCCTGTGCACTTTATCTGAGTACAAAGGAGGAAGGAAGGGTCTCAAGACTATGCAAAAGGCAAGTTTGGGTTATTTATGCTGTGTCACACCACCGCCATAATATGCTGGTGATTAATATGCAGTACTGTTGGGGACTACATTAAGGCTCCTTTACTTTCTCTTAATCCGGGCCATTTTATCGCCACAAAAACCAATGATTTGACTTTTGCTATCAGTATTGTCTTCTATCTTAAAAACAATCTTTAAATTCCACAACACTTTTTAAAAAGGGATGCGTAACATATGAGTTTTAAACATGCCCATTTCAACTTTTCATGATTTGATTCCTAGCTTTAGAGGGTGTTTCACTCTCAATATACTGATTTGAAACTTTGCTAATCAAATTTCATATTATCAAAATAAGAAATGAATCACCTAATGGAATTATGAGTTTTGAAGTACTTAGGTGTGCAGATAACTTTAGCCACTGTTTATCAAATTGTGGTATAAGTTGACGTAAACTTTCTCAAGACTTCACTAAAGGTTAATGAATCTGATCAGAAAAACTGAAAGTGAAGATTTTCATTGTTTTACTATATTCTGAGGGTCATTTTCATAGGATAATGTATCATAGTAGAGATCCTTTTATTCTTTAAATAAGAATCCTCTTCCTCTGTATTTGCCACATAACAGACAAGGCAGTCAATGTTACAGGCTGAGCTAGGGAATTTAAGTATTCTGTTCTTCTTCAAACAGGATTCACATGTACTTCCTCCAAATCTATAGTTTTGGTTCCCAATAAGCTTCATCAGCATAACCAAGTAGATGGTTAGCCCAGTCCGAGACAAAGTGGAAGTCCCTGTAGCCACACACTGCTGCTCTCACAAAACATTACTTTGTGTACTTGAGATCTGGTAGTGTAAGAATAGCTCTAATGAGTAAAGAATGTATCTACGGATTTCAAAGGGCTAGAGAAGTCAATCACAGCTGATAGCATGATTTGTCGCTGTTAAAAAATAAGATTATCTCTTAAGGTATGTAGAAAAGAACTTTTGTCAGAGTTCCAAGAGAATTTAATATTTTTAGTCGAATGTGGTAATGTAGAGAGATGATTGTGACACATGATGAATAAAATGTGTTCTTTTACATGGAAATATAATACATGTCCTGCAGTTGATTGTACCCATAGCAATTTTACTGAAGATTAAAGTTTGACTGACCTTTGGTAGGGTGATTAACCTTTCTAAAATTAAAAGCTGCATCTGAATTAGTCTGTCTAATTTAAATGCAAACATCAAGCAGGTCCCAGTCGTTAAAATAATAATAACAATAAAATCCCTGTATTTTAATTTTCTTTTTTGCATATCTCAATGATGTGCTGCCTGGAAAGGACCAGAGCCCTGGCGAGAACATTGCTCAAGCAGAAAAATCCAGAAATAATGAACACATAATGGGGAACTGTGGAGGGAGAGTCCCAAACAGTGTCTCTCTGCTACAAAACCTAAAAGCCTCCAGCACACCCAAGGCAGTGAGCATGAGGCCCAGGTCTGCACAACTGAAAATAAACGCTCTCCAGAGGGAAGCAATGTTCCGAATGACAGCAAGGTCTCTGCCCTAACGAGCAGCAATGAACACCGAATGCTATGCTAGCTTTAAGTTTATAGAAAGGTTCCTCAAAGCATAAGCCTTCTATCTCAGCCTCTCATTAAGCCCCCCTGAAAGTTGAGTTCTGATATCTGGAATTTCATTCCCATGGTCTCCTGTAGTCTATGGCTGCAGTCAGGATTTTTACTGGGCTCAAAAACATAGGAAAGAAAAACTCCATCTCTTTGGAATTTCATGAAGTGATTTTGTTTCATTTCCCTTTGGTAAACTTTCTGGACACTTTTGTGAAAAGTTTGCATATTCACATTGCTTCAAAAACTATTTTGCTTCTCCAGACTATATTAATTTTCTTATTACGAAGTCAGTGGATCTCTTTAGTAGTGGGTCCTTCTACATGGTGAATGTGTCCTCCTTTTATGTGTCTGTGAACTATTAAAATGGTAATAAAGGTTCTTTTCGTACCGTATGCAATTCATTTCTCTCTCTTTTCATCAAAGAATCCACTCTAAATGTGTGAAGGTAGAAAAGTCCAAGGCATTATAGTATAAAATTAAGAAGCCTGAGGTGCTATCATTTATTTTTGCACAAGCTTTTCATGTGTGCTCTTAATGTCCTTCTCAAAAATAGGCTTCTACAGTAGGCCTGTGAAGAAAGTCACAGAAGAAATACTTGTGACAGAGAAACTGAGACGAATCAACCGGCAGAACGACTCTGGCCTCCTCCAGAGACTTACAATACCTAAAAGCATAGATTAACATTATGTTTAACTAGAGTCTGTTTGCTGTATGGATAATTTCTTATTTTTAATCACTGAACAAAGACTCGCCATAAATTCCGGACAAATGTGTTGTTCTTTACTCTCTGATAAGATGCAGAATATCAGCCTAAGCCTTGGCACTCTGAACTGTCAAACTTTAAAAAAAATCATTCTTTCTATGCTAATATTTGTTTGCTCATTAAAATAATTCTTACTAAAACTAAAGCCCTCTGAAATTTAAGATCCTCCGAACATACACTACTCACTCTTCAGGCAGAATTACAAATCTTCTTCTCTGACTTTTCACAAGAATGAATAAATATAGATTTCTGTGAGACATTGTTGCAAGTATAACAACATTCTCTGTGTGTAAAATGCTAAGGTGCGAAGGTGCTAAGGTGCTGGCAGGATCATGTACCACACTGTCACTAATCATCAGGAGTCTTTTCTTACATAAGAGAATCAGAGCTGGGATGGTGAGATGTACATTTCTTAGAGCGGAAAAATGAATTAGTAGAAAAGGAAATGAAAGGGAAAATAGGTTCTATGTTGTTAAGTCTCAGCTCCAATCATTTATTTTGGTCCAGGGTGCTTTGAAGGTGTGTATATGTGTGTGTTGCCTTTGTTTTCTGACAGTCGGTTCCCTTCTAATCTAACTATTCCCTGACATTTTCCCTTGCGGTTGTGAAATAACGTCATTTGCCATTAAAAAGCCAAGATTAATCCATGTGATATTTATGGGCTACATATTTGAGTTGGGGGTCCTTCTGTTTAAAAACACAGACTTTTAAAAAGCAGCCATTGGTGGTATTTAATTAATTGCTTATTGTCCCTTGCTGTGTATTGTGGCAGCAACTTGAACTCACAAAAATCAAGAGTATGCCTCCCATGAATAGTTTTATTTCACCGAAGGAAAGAAAAACAGAGAGTGGCAGATATAAAGGGCTTTCAGGATTTTCTTTCCATAGCTAAAAAACAGTCACCTACAACTTTTTCTCTTCAACAGACACTCGAGTAAAAGTATTGGCTGATAGCAGTAACTATTTCTTGTAATCTGTGTGATAGAATCTAAAAGAAGAAAATACAGAAGAAATGATAAACACTCTAAAATTAACTTTCCAGAATAGTGAGAGCCATTAATTCCTTAATTCCAGTTTTCACATAATGTTGACCTAGTAAAGTCAGATGGGTGTGTGGCATAGTCAAATGACATAATCTGTGCAATTGTACTAAAATTATCACACTATTTAGTTTTCTAACAGACAGTAGGCACTTAAAAGTTTATCTTCAAGAGGTGGAAAGACAGCTCCACAGGCCTGAAAATCTAAGTTCCAGTCTCTAGAACCCACTGAAATAACTGACACATAGCACAAATATCTATGAACCCCAGAGCACCCCTACCTGGAGGAGGGAGAAAGAGACAAGGTGTATCTGGGCTAGCCTGGGGTCTGCAAAAGCAAACATGAAACACTGTCTCAAACAAAACAGAATGACTATCTGACACCCAATACCAGCTCCAAACATATGCACAATGACACCCTTTACACACACAACTTAAGCACATACAATACACACACACACACACACAATACAGACACAAACAAATGAAAAGCTGTCTTTAAAATATTTATGCTGATTTCTCTTTCATTTAAAGCTCCTAAGTAACGTTGTTTACCTAAGGAGTGTATCTGCCACATGCTCTTTACACCAGTTGGTGATTGTAGTCTGACAATCTGTTGATAAATGTGCCTTTCTATTTGATAGCTCCCATTACTGAAATTGTGTCCCAAAGATAGCATCTGTCACGTTTCTGGGTTGTAGGAAATTGTCCAGTTGTTTACGATAAATTTATCTAAAGGCTACACGGAAGAAAATATCATTTTGATAAACATTAAAAATAAAGAGCAAAAAATTGTACTAGAATCCTATAACACGAGAAAAGAGTGGCCTGCTCTTTAACAAGGCGGCTTTTCTTCTCATTTCCTAATTTATTATCAGAGGCAAAGAAGAAGAATTATTCTGAGTTAGACAAAAAGCAAACCTCCGTAAGATTAGCCCAGGGAGTTTTGGGCTTGGGTAGGCCCAGATAAAATTTTACTTAGTGACGTTTCCACCTTTAGAAGTTGCTTCTGTTGCCATATAAACTGTTGTAGGTTAGCCCAACGGAGAAGGAGACCTCCAGGTTCACCTTTGTATCTTCCTTTGGGATCTTAGGAAGTTCCTAATACATGGCAGGAACTAAGAAAATGTTAGGTAAGTTGTATAAAAAGGACCTCATACCATTCAAATAAAGCTAAGGGGACTGAAACCTACTTCATTAGGAAGAGTAGGTGTGCAAGAAGTACAACAGAGTCTGAGGAAGAAAGGACATTGGGAGAACAGTAGGAGGAATAGATGCAGGAGCCATGGTTGGTGTAGCAGATGGTTTTTAAAGTAAGCCACTCCTTAGCCACTTATTACTTATCAGAATCCAACTAATTTCTCTGAGCAGGTCAGAATAGTTCTTCAGAATTACCATTTTGGTTTATGCCTTTAAAGAGACAAAAACGAAAATCAGACAATTCATCATATCTATTTTGAAACTAAATTTAAAGCCTAAGTAAACGGCATTGCGTAGAATTAGGGACTAACTGAATAATATTGGCACGGAAGTGGGGTGGGGGATGCTACTGTGACTCAAGCTGGAAAAGGACACCTGGCAGAGAGGAGCTCAGTGTATGGTGAAATGAGTCACCAAGAGTCCTGCCTGGAGGTATGAGGCAAGATAGATTACCAAGTTTGAGCTCCCCCCCAACCCCAAGTTGTATGAATCCTTGAGGATTCATTAACCATTTGAGTCTTGCTTCATGGTGATTACACAGTTAGGCAGATAGGAATCAACTTCACTATATGGAAACATTGAGGAAAACATTTATGAAAAATATGATCTAATTTCTGAAAATACAGGCCAATTAAAGACTGAGATTTAATTTCAAAATTTTACTCTGTCTACATTATATATATATATATATATATATATATTAATGATGATTTTTCTCCCATCATTTTTCATCTTCATAAACAAAATGGTATTTTTTGCTTATTGACATATTACTGAAGAATCTAGCTTTTCCCCCAAAATTACACATTTTTTGCATAAATGTGCCTAATTACCTGAATTCAGTTTTGATTAGCAGTGTTAATTGATGCAGCTGTGGATGGGATCTGTTTACCTAAATTACCATGTGCAAACAGCAATATGTCTGGAAGTGAATATGCTAAAGTGAAAATACTAATTAGCTAAGACAGATTGTTATTCAAGTCACATTGTAGAGCTTTCTAATGAAAGCCCGGATATGTCAGGGTTTTATGATATTCAGACAGAACTGTCTATATTACATATGACTGCTAAATTTAATTCATAAGAACAGATGGGATGTCAGCCAGGCTTCTTCTGTCTTATCCCTTTATTAATGTGAATATTTTTCTCAACTGGAGATATATTCATATGTTTTTGTAAGAAACTCGTTCTATGTTTTGACAGCGTGCCCACCCTGCACACAGAGCCTCATCTATTTCTTGACCAATAAATTCACAGATGATATCCTCCTACTGTCCCACGGATGAAGGTAAGCTCACCATCTTGCAAGTTTAATCACACCATTCGGTTCATTTGACCTTAGCACAGAAGGCAGAGTTAAAGAGTTAAAGAGTTTACCCCATTTTATTTTTGTGCTTTCTCTTTGCATCCCAAATAAATAACAAGGATTCAGTCCTAGTATTCTCAAAAAATCCTTGACTGTCCGCTGGGTTGAAAGGCGAGTATTCCTTGTCTGTACACAGTCCCTGATGAGGAACGGTGATTCTTTTCCAGTGTCCGGTTCAAAATGTTACAGCCTTTGTGTGTGTGCCTTTGTTTCTCATTACCCTTGTTTACCCTTGTCCTAAAACATGACCTGCTTTGCTTGAGTTTTTCTCCAAAGAAAATATTCATATTTTTACTATCTGCTCCAGCCCTCAGCGCTCATTTAATGGCACTGTAGTTCTCAAGTATCCAAAGATTATTGTACCAACCCTACATGTCACAGTAAAGAATAAATGGACCATCTTCCCTCTCCCAAGAGTCTAAATGACTGTGCCTAATGCATGATGTCCCTTCTTCCCAAAGGCTGAAGAGATAAGGCCTCTTGACTCTACCTGAAGGGCTTAAGATCCCCTGTGAGATATTTTAAGAAGCCAAGAGCAAAATGGGGATAATTTTCATGCTGCAAATTTGAACATAATTATAGTTTGGCATATTTAATTTAGGTTTAAGTGAGAATTATAATTACCAAAATTTAATTATTTCAATTATGCTAATTTCTATCCCCAAAGTTTTGTGTAATTTGGGTTCTCTAAGATCGACTGAGACATAGCAAAATTACAATAGAGTTTAATAGGAAGAATAAAACATATGAAACAATGAATCTGTTCTAACCTCAGTTTTGCTATCAAAATGTAAATGTAATGCTAACTAGCCCAGGAAAACATGAAGTGCTTTCTAGGCTTAAATAAAAAGCATGCAGAGTGTGGGACAGACATTGTGTATGAAGCATTCCATTCTCTATCAATACCAATGCTAGCATATAATTGTTCTTTGACTGTTTACAATCTAGTTAATGCAGATAATCTCAGTAATTTTCCAAATGAAATTTACATGTGTCATAATGATGATCTTTTATTAGCATATTTGATGACTTCCCTTGCTTTTGATTATTCACTAACTATAATTCTTTCTAAGGTACCTTGAATAGATTTCTATATTTGAAGTTAAAAAAAAAAAGCCATGGAAAATTTTATTATTTACCAATGACTGAAAGCAACTTGCTGAATGTTGTATGGATGATCTGAGATAGTTCAGCACAATAGATTTAAAGTATGTGTGTGTGTCTGTGTGTGTGTGTGTGTGTGTGTGTGTGTGTGAGTGTGAGAGAGACAGTGTGTATATGTGTGTGAGTGTGTATGTGTGTCTATTCAAAAACACACCATATAAGCAAAAACTTTGGATGCTGTTTCTGGCCAACTAGTTCAGTTATCTGGGAGGGATTTTTTCCTTCTATATTTCTGGGTTTGCGAAAGAAACTGCTGGAAACCCCAAAACTCTATACAAGATGCAGCCATAGGAAGCAGCACCCCTAAACTCACAGCTCCCTGTTCTCTGCAGAGCCGTATCTGGGCTACTCCTTGCTGCCGCCCATGAGACTTCCTAATATTTCAGTGAAAACTGCTCTTTTCTTTTTCTGATTCCGTGTGCAGGCATGAGTGTGCTTTGTGTTTGACTCCGTGCCAGCACATGTAAGTGTTTCTGCAAGGGTACTTTAACAAGGGGAAAGGGGTCAGCGATGTCAAATGAGAGATGGGACTGTGGTATTTTATCAGACATTCCAGTAAACTGTCTTGGGGAAAATCACTTAACCTTGGTGTGAAAATTAGTTAATTTTAAGAATAAATACATCTATCTTTCTGACTTATTAAGGATTTATCACATGTGCCCAAGGTTCAACTGATCTCCAAATGAGGTGTATGCATCCTTTCTTTGAACTCTGACTGGCATGTGGGGAGGGAGGGGAGTTAAGGAGTGAAAGACTTAATCCTTTGAAGAAATTTTAATTTAGTGTTAATACTTCTAAATATTGCTAATGGATTCTAAGATTAATTCAGCTCTTACTACCTCACTTCTTATGGTTTCCTTCCCAAGGATAGATTGAAGGCTCCTGAGGGAAGTTGGCCGCATCACTGTCTCAGTAAGCCTTTCTCACACCCTCCACACAGTTTTATTTCTAAGAGGCAGTACACACACAGTAGGTGCTGTAAGTGCCCTTGGAGTAACTAGTGGTTACCAGATTAAGAATGATGACCATTGATCCTATTTGTAACCCTGAGGAAATACATTACAAGATCTCTATCCCTAACCTAGGGTCTACAACCTTCTGAAGACACTGGAAAACTTCTAAAGCTCAGGGTTCTTTGAGGAAGCTGTTGAGTCTTGACTACTTTGCAGTCTGTCCAAAGGAACTCCTGTGTGTCACAAGAGATGTGACTAATTTGAGCTGGTTCAGATAAGTGTGGCATCTGCTACCTTCGGTTAGCGCACATTTTAAATGAAAGGTTGTGACTACTGAACAGAGCTCTGTGCACAGGTAAATTCCAATTTAGGGTTTGCTAACCCACCTTCAAAACAGAGATAATAATAACTCTTTGTGCTGGTTGTGAATGATTTCTGCTTTAGCCTAGTATCATGAAGAAAGTGCTAACTGTAGCCACTATGTACAATTCAGTAACTCTGTATTAGGAACCAGAAGACATTAGGCTGGGGACATACTCTAGTCAGAAAAGCCTTCTAATGAAAGCACGAGGACTTGATTTTGCATCCCTAATACTCACACAGATCAGCCATGGTAGCACAAGTCAGTTATCCCAATGCTGGGAAGACAAAGACAGGCAGACTCCTGGAGCTCATTGGCCAGCAAGTCTAGCTAGACCGAGCTCTGAGTTCAGAGAGAAATCTTGTCTTAAATAACAAGGTGGAAAGTGACTGAGCAAGACATCAGTGTTAGCTCCTGGCCTTTTACATGCATGTACAAATGAGTACACATGAGCACACACACATGCAAACACACACAGAGAGATAAAGACAGACCAACAAAAGCAACTCACTAACTTATTTAAATTGCTATGGAGTAAACCTACATGCACATATATGTCTTATGTCTTGAAGTCTATGTCTGCTTGCTCAAGTATGTAGAGGAAGGATAAAATCTTGGCTTTTTGAAAGTATGTGATACATGAGCTTTTGGATTCCTGCTTTTCTATTTATTTTTAACCACTAACATTTCGTAGCTCAAAAGTTATTTTGTACATATTGTCCTATGCTGATGTCATAGCAGCAGGGCAGGACAAGAAGCACTGTTCTCTCAGTTACAAATGGGACATAGTGATTGACCTCAGGCCTTTTCCTGCGGGAGGAGAGAGGGGAACAGAGAGGTAGAATACACTTGGCATCTTTTCCTAGACTATCTGGATAACAGCACACAGTGCTATGTGTTTGTGGGATATTCCATGTAACAAGACTGTATCTGAGGCCAGAGCCCAGAAGTAAGGATATTGAGAGGTCCAGAATACTAACCAGGCTTTGACAGGCAAAAAATTTAGTTCCTCCTCCTCAATACACGTTCAGTCAACTACCCTTATATGATTTATAGTAGTTAAACATGTGCTATCTATATTATTATTAGGGCTTGAGTGGAAATGGGGTGTGCCACAGTTAAAAAAGCTGAGACCAGGAACTGAAGTCTTCCTTCAGCCTGAGCAAATGTCCAGTTATCTAAACATGGGAGATGAATAAGAATTTCTTAAGAATTTAGTACATAGCTAGGAGTAGTAGTTACACCTTTGGTCTCAGCATTTTATCAAAAGAAGCAGAAGGATAAGGGTTCAAGGGTTAATTCCAAGACCTGGGAGAGAGCAGAGAGGGAGGCACAGACACCTTCTATCTGTGAAGTATTTTTAAAAGGTATGGAAAAAAATTTAAAAAAAGAAATAAAAGGTATGGAAAACATAGACGAGTAGGAGGCATTGGGCCTTTAAGAATTCTAAACCACCAACCACTAACCTATGACTATACACTTGTTCTTCAAAACTATGGTGGTTAATGTTGTGAATCCTGCCTCTTTTAATACCCAGGATATTAAGAGAGAAAGGCATCACTCATTTCTGTATCCATTCAAGAAGTATTTGTGTCTCCTCACAGTGGATAGCAGAATACAGACATAAGCTTAGAAGACAGATGGCCTGGGTTCCTATCCTTGCTTGTCCTAACTAGGGACAGGATAAATTACAAGAATTTTCAGCTATTTTGTCTGTAAACATGGGCTGACTATGATAAGATTGACATGGGGATTAAGAATGTGTGTAAGGAGCTTTCCACCGCATAGTTCACACACTTGAGGATGGAAGAGTAGTTAGAGAGCTGAAATAGTCTTATACTAGAACAACAACTATTGAATCCTGAGATAGCTGATAAATAAGTGCCTTCGAACACAGCCCATATCCCATGCAGTTGCTAGACTGTAGAACTGGGAAAGGGCTTTTAGAGACAGGATAAACAATGGCAAAGATACTTCCTCTACAGTGTGGGGTCTAGAGAAAGCCATTCTTTTGTTCAGTATGTTCAGCCTGATGAACATTTCCCTAGTAACCACTGTTAATTTAGGGACCTATGACATCTGTGCAATTTAAATGGGACCTGAGCTCAAAACCAAAACACATGGGGCATGATTTTCCATTCAACATGGTTGAATAGGACCATATCCATGCCTGGCCTTTGAATCATGAACTCCATGGGGCTAACTGACCCCGAGTTGCTGCCGTCTTTGACAGTATGCAGGGTAGTGTTGGGGTGTGTTTGGACTCACTCTGGTTTCCTATGTACAGAAAATCCAAATTAGATTTTTGTCATTAGCTTGTCAAGTGTATCTTAAACCCACTTAATGAGGTCTGCAATGGAATGTCTTTTATGCTCCGTGGCCTTTGTGCTCAGCCCCTGCTACCCTCTGCTGTGGCTGAGGTATTAACGAAGTTGCCACGGTGT